GGGGAGAAATGCCTGATGTAGGTGATGGGGAAGAAGGCAGCAAATCACACTGCCATGTGTGTTCCTATGCAACAATTCTGCATGTTCTTCACATATACCCCAAAACCTAAAATGCAATAAAATAAATAAATGGGGAAAAAATAATAATAATAATTATTTGCTGTCTAGCTGAAAATCAAATTTAACTGGGTGTCTTATATTTTTCTTTGTTAACACTGGCTACCCTACTTTCATTTTCCTTTCACTCTTCCTGGTTCTTTTGGGCCTTTTAGGAACTCGGGGTGATTCAGGCTCTGACAGGCATGGTACTAGATTTATTTTAGGCTGCTCTTTTGCTGTTGTCCACAGGCCAAGGAAAGATTTAAATGACTTCTCCAATATTTGCTTAATAGTCATGTGTTTCATTGATCCCATATACAGATCAGCTTTAATACTATTTTTGTTTTGTTACACTAGTGCATACATAGAGATGTGAAGCCAGAAAATATCCTCATCACAAAACATTCCGTGATTAAGCTTTGCGACTTCGGATTTGCTCGGCTTTTGAGTGAGTATTGCGATTTTCTTTTGTTAAGTATAAAAGACAGAAAAGTTCTTGATCCAGTAAAGGATCTAAATGCTCTAGAAGTATACAAGCTAGTATTTGTATATTTGGGGCATAGCATGCTATCAATTATAATTGTGTATTTACTGAAAACGTGTAGATACATACAGTGGTTTACATACGTATGCTATGCATAAATTATACCACGGTAAAGTGGTTATTTAAAAAGTATCTTACCTTCCTGTTTTCTACCATTTCTTGCTAAAATAACACTTTTCAGAAGTGCTACTTTAGAAGAGTGTCTTTCAACCTTGGATGCAAATTAGAAGCAACTGGGGAACTTTTTTATTTTTTTGAGACCAGAGCCTTACTCTGCTGCCCGGGCTGGAGTACAGTGCCACAGTCAAAGCCCACCACAGCCCCACCCTCCCCAGCTCAGGTGATCCTCCCACCTCCTGAGTAGCTGGGACTACAGGGGTGAGCTACCACACCTGCCTCAGTTTTGTATGCTTTTGTAGAGACGGGGGTTTCGCCATGTTGCCCAGGCTGGTCTTGAATTCCTGGGCGCAAGCAATCCACCCACCGAAGCCTCCAAAAGTGCAGGGATTATAAGCGTGAGCCACTGTGCCCAATACCCCCCAGACCGTTCCCAGGGATTCTGTTTTAATTGGAGTGTGGCTGGAGCATCTGTAATTTTAAAAACATATTCGAGTGATTTGAACGTGCAACTAGAATTGAGAACCAGCGATACAGAAAGGCCACAAGACTGGGATCAGGCTTGACTTCTGAGATCTCCCCCTCCAGTTTTGATTCCGGTCTTCCTCTTTGTTTTCCATCACTGGCCAGCTGGACCGAGTGACTATTATACAGACTACGTGGCTACCCGGTGGTACCGCTCCCCTGAGCTGCTGGTCGGGGACACGCAGTACGGTCCCCCAGTGGATGTTTGGGCAATTGGCTGTGTCTTTGCTGAGCTGCTGTCTGGAGTGCCTCTGTGGCCAGGAAAGTCAGATGTGGATCAGCTCTATCTGATTAGGAAAACCTTGGGTAAGTGGTGTTTTTATCCCACGTTTTGGAAAACTGGATATTTCCCCGCATTAGGGCAGGGCAGAGCCAAGTTCCCAGTCTTGACTAATGCCCTTCAGGGCATTAGTTGGGAAAGAGAAAAACTCGAAGCCTCATTTAAATGACTCCGTTAAAGGTAGCCATATTTGTTTAAATTACTGAGTATTCATTGTAAAAAAAAGACCTAGGATTCTTGAGCAGTTTGGATCAAGTTAAAACATTAATAATGATCACAACAACAATAAAAACTCAGATTTCTGTAAGGGCTTAGCAGTTTACAGAGGGCTTTCGTGGTTTACCTCATTTATGATGATGGGATAATTCAGCTGAATGTCCTTAACCCCAGCCTGCCTGACTAGTTCGGATTATTCAGACTCTATGGAGGGTGATTCCCAACCTTCTAAGTATCAGGAGGAAGCCTGGTTTTGATGTCTCTCTCCCCACCTTGCTTTCCCACCACACTACCCTTTCCTTTCTCTCCACCCTCGGAGGCCGAAGCGGAGGAGAAGGGCAGGGGAGGAGAAGGGAGGGAAGGTGAGAAAAAAAACCCATCAGTGGCGATTGCCCTCTTCCAAAGTCAGGGAGTTTAGACACTACTCCCAAGTGTCTCAGTTTAGAGTAAACTTTTCCTCCTGTAAACTCTCGTAGCAACTGCCATCGCCATGCCTTGCCTTGTAATCTTATCTTCCCAAAGACACTGTAAACTTCCTGATGGTGAGATCATGTCTTAATGTTTCTACTTACCCTCTACCAGTGTCTGCACATTGTAGGCAGTAAATATTTGCTGATAGCTTGACTTGTTCAGTGACATGGAAGGCGCTTTGTAGGCCTTCCAGGGGCACTCAGCCTTTCTTGGCTGTGTTTCCTGTAGCGATTTTAAGACAGCTTCCCATGTCACCCCTCTGGTACTAGAGGAAGAAGGAATTGTGCTCATGATGCAGCTCACTGAGATCTGGGCAAGGCATTAGAGGGTATATTTTGCCTTCACCAAAATGAGATGAGGCAGCAGTTTTTGCATTTGAGTGAGAGGTACATTTTTGGACACATCAGTAAAATTAGATAATTTGATACCCTGGAGTAGGAGCTCCCACAGTGCTCTGGGAAATGGGCCTGGTTTTGACCCAGGAGAATACCTTTGAGTATCTCCTTATATTCTCTGAACAAAATCCCTCTTCAAGTGTAATATAGAATTTTACATATAGGTGATTTTAGCTGATTTGATGGAAATGCGGGCAGGAGGATTTTCCTAGAGTTCTCTGGAATATAGAAATACTCTTTTTGTTTCATTGCTTCACATTGTAAGTGCTTCTAAACATACACGAAACGGGATTTCCAAGTGAGCACTAATTAGTGAAATAAGAAAAGTTGGTCCCCATGTGGAAATGTATTCCTCCTAGCTAGAAAATCCATAATCCCCTCCCCTCCCCTTCCTCCTCCTCCCCTTCCGTCCCCTCCCCTCTCTTCCTTCTTCAAATATTTATTGAGTACTTGCTGTACGTTAGTAAGACACTGTTATAAGTGCTAGGGCAATACAATTATATCTTGACCTATCAGGATTCAGTTTATATGATTTTGATTTGTGGTTGTTGCCCTTTTGCTGTTTTTGTGTGTGGGTGCTTCTGAGTTTGGTTTGGGTTCCTTCAGTACACTGTAGGCTCTGAGAACAAGAAGTTGAGAGGAAGAAGCTTGAAGCCCTCAGTTGCCATCGCTTGCCTCCTCTGTGCCTAACACAGTGTGCTGCCCACTATAGGGATCAATACAGCCTGCTGAGGGTTGCCTGAATGCCTCTCCTTCTGATTGCCCGAGAACACTGCAGCATCCATAGATATGGGCACAGATAAACACAGCATTGATGGAAGAAAACCACAGATTGGTGTTTGCTAACCGATTTCACTTTCTTTTTTCTTGTCCAAAGGGGATCTCATTCCTAGGCACCAGCAAGTGTTTAGCACGAATCAGTACTTCAGTGGAGTGAAAATTCCAGACCCTGAAGATATGGTGAGTAACCCATTTTGGAGAGGGCTCTGTAGGCCAGGCTAGCTAGGCTTTGGTCTTTATTCATCTCCCTGAGCCCCAAGGCTTACCCTGCATTGGAGGTCAGTCTAAGAGAGAAAAAGAAAATTGGAGTAAATTGGCTAGCAAGATCTTAGCCTTAATGCTAATTTACAGGCTATTGATAACAGAGTCTAGCAAGCCTGTTGCACGGGAATGCAGAGCTGCCTGCTGGAGCTACACCTGTTCTTTATCATGTTTTAGCAGTTGAAGCTAGGTAGCTCAGAGCCAACCAACCTTTAGACATAGACCTATCCGGCTAAAGTTAACTACTTTTTCTTCAGCACGGTCCAAATTCCCTACTTACTATGCCTGATCTCTCCAGACCATGGGAAAAATCATAATGAATTTACATGGGCTGGGTGCGGTGGCTCACGTCTGTAATCCCAGCACTTTGGGAGGCTAAGATGGGCGAATTATCTGAAGTCAGGAGTTTGAGACCAGCCTGGCCAACATGGTGAAACCCTGTCTCTACTAAAAATGCAAAAATTGGCCAGGCATGATGGCATATGCCTGTAATCCCAGCTACTCAGGAGGCTGAGGCAGGAGAATTGCTTGAGCCCAGGAGGTGGAGGTTGCAGTGAGCTGAGATTCTAGCCACTGCACTCT